AAATAATTATCCAATTAAAATAGGAGAAATATGAGTATATTTTTAGTAGTTCCCAAAAATAATAGCCGAGAAATAATATGAGTATATATATATATATATATATATATATATATTGGCTAGCAAATACAATTAGTTTCGGCCGGATGGTTAATTTTATATTTTTTCCTTAAAATAGGAATGACCCAACCCAACCTGACCCAATACCCATATATGTAAGTTAAAATAATACTAAAAGTGAATTTCTCCCCCATAAAAAAATTAGTTCGGAATGCATGAGATTCCGACAAAAAAACAAAGAAATAAAAGATATAATTAGAGAGCACTTGAAATAAAAATGCTATCAATTTGAATAAAAATATTGAAAAGAAAAATAAAAGATAAAAGTATCATCTTTTGAAGAATTTACTATTCACGTTTAGTATTATTTTAATTTGTATGTATGAATATTGGGTCGGGTGGGCCAGGTCGGGTTGAATCATTCCTATTTTTATTGGATTATTATATATTAGACTGAAAATAAAAAATAAAAAATTACAAAATAAGAAAATATTACTAAAAATTATATTTTTCGATCACTATGATTTTTGTGTGAGCTAGTAAAAGTTTTATAATTTTCGTGTGAGAAAACATAGTTATGTGACTTTGATGAAAAAAAGTCATAGTTATATGATTTTTGTGTGAGCTAGTAAAAGTTTTATAATTTTCGTGTGAGAAAACATAGTTATGTGACTTTGATGAAAAAAAGTCATAGTTATATGATTTTTGTGTGAGAAAATAAAGTTATATGATTTTGATGAAGAAAATGATAGTTATATAACCATTTTGTGAAATTTAGCCGTCTTAACTCATGTTTTCAATTAACATTTAACAGGTATTCATCTCGTCAAATGTCAAAACCAAACCTTTGTCTTTAAATCTGGTTTTATATATTTTAGAACAATTAAATTAAGGATTTGCTAACTATTCTTATGTTTGTTGAGGTCAGCTAAAGCGACCAGTTCACGTGTTACAGATTATATTAATCGTTAACAGTTCCAAAAACCTAGACATAGGTCAAAATGATAAAATAATAAACATGTCATTAAATAAATCATTAATATAGGAAATATTTTCTCTTAAATAAATTTTCCGTGATACAAATTTAGATTAGTTTTATCAGTGTGTTATATAAAGAAAAACCTTAATTGACAATACATGTGAATTACACAATATTTTCTCTTCTCCTTTTCTTTTCAAAAATAAATAAATAAATAAGTTGTTGGTATCCTTTTGATTTTAGGATGTTTGTCATTTTACATGATTTGATTTCATGTTGAGGTATCAAACTCATAATCAAATGAATAGAAACCTAAACAATTGCTTGTAAAACTAATCATTAGATTATAGCCACCAACTAATTTAATTGACTTCGCACTTTCTTTATGCTTTGATTAGTACAACACCTTGGAATTGTTTTATTTTTTCTAAAACTTTGTATTTTTTTCCCACTCAATATTCAGTACCACAATTGAATCAGACTATTTTCAGATTCGTGTCAGAAAATCCCTGAGTTAAAACGCTCCCTAGCAATACTCAGGGCTCGGAAAAAATTGAATTTTGAAACAGATTCTGTTTATAAAAACGAATTATTTTTTATGTAACCGAACATTTTATTGTAAAATAAAAATTATTAAAGCGGGGACAAATTGGAGTGGTACGTGGAGGAAATTATTAAATTTGTGCTTCAATGGGATCAGAAAACTCAGTTCACTTCTTTTATTTATTTACTGTCCCCTCTATTTATTTCTTTTGTTGGATAATTTATTACTGACTCTCGTACAATTTTGGAGTAAATTTAGGCCACTGACTAGCCGTACAGAACACAGAATTCATGGTACTTTGTGCCCCCATAAACTAATTAAACTTCAGTTTTGGTCTGTTCAGTTTCTTTAACAAAAAATTCTTTCTCAAATAATATAAAAATAGGTTTCAACTGTGAATGGATTACTATTTAATTATTACTATAATTTTATTTACATTGATTATTGATTAGGTGTAAGAGTCAAATTCTGTCATCTAACTTCTACTTTTGATTCTCCCTTAATTCATGAGCTCATGTCGTTTTAAGAAGAAGAAAGAGTAAATGTCTAAATCTACCCTATATATTAAACGAAGTATCTTTATCGTTAGCAAATTATTTGATTGCGCTTTGATTTTAGCAAAACTCTACCGTCAAATGGGTTTCATATGTCAAATTACATAAAAAATAATCTAAATTGACCTCTCATTTATTTTATGATATAGTTTAAAATTATCCCTCAGCATACTTTAGACAAGGTAAAATAAAGATATTTTATATGGTAGATTGATATTTTTGACAATTTTCCCAAAGCGAAAAAAATAAAATTCTCTTTTTGTCCAAAAAGAAATCGACTCTTTGATTTTCTGTCAGAATTTTTTTTTTATATGTTTAGGAATTACATAAAAACTAGTATAGTACTATTTAATCAATTTATAATTAAAGTATTAAGATATACTTTAAATTTAAACATACTAATTGGTTTTCAAATAGTATTCATGTTAAATTTGATACACAGAGTATTTTGTGTTATTTTTATGTAGATGCAACTTGTACAATAATAATAATAATAATAATAATAATAATAATAATAATAATAATAATAATAATAATAATAATAACAACAAAATAATAATTGAACATTAGATGCCAATTGAAAGAAAATCTATAAATCTGTTAGAACAAGATTTTGTGCAGAAATGCCTTCTTAGTTCTACCAAGTCTGTAGGGGCAAAATAAATAAAAAATAAATAAAAACTGAATAATTATTGCTCCAACTACTTACAAATAAATAAAATATCCCTATTTTACCACAATATTCCATTGATAGTAGCCCTGTGTTTGAGTAATTTTTACAAACGAGTAGTATGTTAAAAGATTCAGAAACTAGTAAGACAACATAAACAGTGGATATGTATTTTACAATTTATGTAAAACAAATTGATATACTAAACTCTATTACTCATAATTTGAAGGACATTACAAAGACATGCTGAATTATATAGATTTTGAAAGAATGTTTTACATAAACAGGATAATTATACGAGGATAAATGAAATTTTAAAAATAATACATTAACAAATGGTGCAATGTAATCGTGATAGTTCTCACAATTTCGACTTTCTCTTTTCCTAAATATACAACATATGTAATAAATATTGATGTATTACATTTCAACAAGAGAACCACTTTAAAAAGGGACAGATACACACTAATCAACTTGAAATAAGATACAAGTTTTTTCAACCTTTTGTACGATATATTCTTGTAAAATACTCATAGGCAAAAAGATCTCCCTCTGCTCTCATAGCCGAATTATTCAATGTTCCCGTATATAATTATTTTTCGTATTTTTAATTATTAAAAAATTAATCACTAAATTCACTAAATAAAAGTTCAAGAACCAGAATTCCATACATCTAGAATTTCTCATTAGCATGAATGCATTTCTTAATCTGTAGTTAGCAATTTTAACACAAAAAATTTTACTTAATCCTCAAAATTCATAAGAAGATAATTAGGAAGAGATCACGACTCAAAATACATGAATCTCATCATTGAAAACAAAAGAGAGGAAGAAAAAACATTTGGATCACATTCTTATATTTCACACTAAATGTTTTTTAATTAATTGCGTAATAAGCTACGTACCAAACTACAAAAGTGATATATCAGGAATTTGTCATCATTTAAAGGGTATATTAGTCAATCCAACATTACAAATTGTCAAAATTTAGCCGTTTAATCCTTTTTTTTCAAAACATCATACCTGTCAACATTATATAAAAGGACACATTTACAGACACACATTTATATAAAATACAGTCAGATATAATTTCTAAATCAAAAAAGGTGGAAATTGATTTTTTTTTTTTGTATGATCATAAGTCTTACGCTAACGCTTTCGCTTCTTTTATCAATTGCTTCAAAGCAAATTCATGAATTTTGTTTTTTCATTTTTTCAAAACTACATTTCTCTCAGATCTGTTTCTAGAAATTTCTATTCAATTTTTTAGGTACTGCGAAATGTTTATGATTCAATGCGTTTGATTTTTTTCTTCTTCGCGTGGATTTGTTCATTTCTTATGTTGTGAACTGTTGTACTGTAGGCATACGGTGTTGTACTTTCTAATCGTTTTTTTTTTGTTGTTGTTTGAATTAAAGGTTGAAATTGATTGGTTTACGGTTCCTTTCAACTTTGCTGGATTTACACGTGATATGCACGTGATTTTGCCGCTTTGATTTCGACGTTTTCCCTCTCAGTAAGCATCTGGATCATAATTTACAACTTTTTTTCGCTTTGTTTTCATTTGGGGTGTGTGCGCGTTTATGATGTATGTAATTGCAAATTATTGATATTTTGAATTTTTGTTGTTATTGTTGAAGAATTGAGTAATAGATTTTGAAAAATTGGCTCCGCAACGCCGATCACAGCGCCATATGGGCGGCCAAATGCAGCAGAGCAATGCGGCAGCGGGTACTGCTCTATACGATCATCCTCCGGGCAATGCGAGCCCCACTGGTGATGCGGGAGATGCTGTCATGGCGCGATGGCTTCAGTCTGCCGGGTTGCAGCATTTGGCCACTACCGGTGTCGATCAACGTCTGCTTCCGAACCTACTTATGCAGGTATAATACCTTACTTTATAATTCACTTGTGCTTTATCTACTAGTAGTAGTTTTTAAGTACAAGATCAATATTGTTTACATTTCTGTCTGAATAACTTGACAGAATAGTAGTTGTCACAATGCATTGCACTAAAGAGAGATCTAGCATATTAGCAGGAGGTGTATGTTCACCACTGAATTAGAGGCGGATTCATGATTTGAATTTTATGGGTTCAATTTCGAATTGTACCACAACTCATTTGATTTACTAGGCTCAAAAATCATTTTATTTGCACTTATTTAGTGAATATTTTTAACACATATATATGATTCGAGCCAAAGCTACTGAGTTTAGATAAACCCGTACCTGTAACTCTATAATTGCCCTTGCTCAGACTGGGACAGTATATATGTATATAGAAGATTTGAAGTAAAACCTTAAAGATATTGTATATTATATATTCAGATGTACCCTCATTGTCTTTAAATCTTACGTTGTTGTATTAGTTAAATTGAAGTCTTTGTATGTCCTGCTGCTATAGTACCTAGGGGCCTTTTTATTGTTATTTGGTTTACCCCTCCGCAAATGTGGTTATATAGAATGCACTCATACACAAGCATGTCACATCGTTTTGTATTCTTCATTTTAGACCACTGACTCCTACGGAACTCTGTTAGCCTTAAACGCAATTCCGGCAGCTGAGTATCTAGATCATGGAGTTTTATCTGCAGAGTGATATTGATCCTCTTCTTTCGAACTCGCTGTATTCTCTTTCTTTTGGTTCTTTACCATGGGGGTTTAGTATGTCAATCTTTGTTTGTTTGGATGTTGCCATTTTGAGTTCGTTAATGATTTTGAAGCCTGGATATTGTTTGAAGGGATATGGAGCACAGTCTATGGAAGAAAAACAGAGGCTTTTCAAATTGATGAGAAACCTCAACCTAAATGGCGAATTTGCTTCTGATCCATATACTCCAACAGCCCAAAGTCCAGGAGGGTTTGGAGCATCGGATGGCTTTTATTCTCCTGAGTTCAGAGGAGACTTCGGAGCTGGGCTGTTGGATCTTCATTCCATGGATGACACGGAGCTTTTAACTGAGGTAAGGATCATTTTTAAAAGTCTGGACCTATCTAGTACCTAGTTTCCTTCTCTACTTTGCCAGTTCTTGTGCAAGAATGTACATTGTTTTGCCGGGAACCTCCGTTTTCGCCTCATTTTTTAGCTGATTTATAAATTAATAATATATTTATAATTTGATAACACATTCTGCCATACTAGTCTCAGTCTGGCCCTCCTGCCCTACACCCTCCCAAGAAGGAAGTGAAAACAGAAAGGAATGTGTAGGGTTACTGAATATGGGTTCATTGAAGAAACTGACAGTTTTGTCCAGTTAGAAAGGTGTTTAACAGTAACTACTTAGCATTCTCTTTGTTACCAATTGTACAAACAGATGTCACTGGGTTAACATGTTAAGCTAGACTGAGAGCTGTAATTATCTTATTATATTTAATAGTAAAGTGTTTTGGTTTTTAGATTGTGGAGACTATGAGGCAAGAAATACCAAATTTATGTCTGGAATTGGAACCCTTTTCCGAGATAGAGGGGGAATTTAAAAGCTTGGCTTTCCTTGCACTAATCGTGGAATAACTCACATGTCATGGTTTTCTGCATTTTGAGGGAACCAAATGAATGATTTTGTCGTTTATATCCATTGAAATATGCGTTGCCTTCTGCGGGATAATTAGTCTCTTTCTTTTACAAGTCTGATGGGATAACTAGTCATATATTGTGAATATCCTTATTAGTGGATATTGCTCCATTGTGCTTGAATTTAAATAGGTTGTAGGCCATGTTCTTTCTTTCATAATCATCAGTCTTATTAAGAATCAAGATCCTTTCTTAATGGTTAGACTGGTAAATGTTGGCTTACTGGTGATCCAAATCTTTCTCATTTGTAAATACCAGGCCATGTGTCTTGTAATGTTTCTGACTCTATTGTCATAAAGAAAGGAATTTCTGCTTACTAATTCTGGCCTTTTTGTCATTTTAGCATGTAATTTCAGAACCCTTCGAGGTGTCACCTTTCATGTCGGGGGTAAATAAAGCATTTGATAGTGACAACGATCAACAGCAAAAAGCACAACCAGAGACGGATGCTGCAGCTGGATTATCCACAATTGAAAAAGAAAATAATGCAAGAGAAAACAATGTGGCGAAGATTAAAGTAGTGGTATGTCAATTGTGCATGCGTATTATCGACTTATTGTTCTATAGAGGATGCAAGTTATGTCATAATTGTGAGACACCATTGAGGAAAGGTCTCTTTGATTGGCCTGTATCTGGGAATGGGAGGGTTCAAATGCATCTGTGACCCTATTAGTAATACGAATATTTTTTTTTCTTTGGTAGATAGGAAATGAGATGGTGATATCTTTGTTGTGTTTATTTCGGCAAGAAAATTGGATTTTGGGGCATATTTTCCTATTGGATCCTAATTCTAACTCCTACCATTTAATTACCATTGTTTTTATTCATTTCTAAGATGGTAATTTGCTCTATTATGCCAACAAAATGCGCCTTTACTTAAAGATCATGTTTGAGCTGCCTATAGAACCAAATTAAGTGTTCACATGCTTCGCATTAGTGAAAAGATGTTATTTGAGGATCCACGTCCTGCAAAAAATTCTGAGGTTATCGCAGCCTCCACTAACTTGAAATTGATATGCAGCTTGAAATAATATTGCTTTAGTATTTGGTAATCAACTGCATGACTATTGTCTAGACGTTTGCTAGATGTTACATTCATTCTTTAGCCACTTTCTCAATGAATGCCGCTTTTACAGAAAACTTGGGAGTACTGGAAAATGAATTTTAAGTCATATTTTTATTGTCCTTATATGTTTCTTTCCAGTGATTAAAATATGCCTTCTAGTTTGATAAGACTTTTTTCTTACTGCTTTTGCTATTTTTTTGTGCTTTAACCCCCCTTCTTCATGCGTTTCATGGTTGTTCAGATGATTTGTTTATTCTTTCTCTTTTCAATTTCTAAAGCTGACGTTAGCGTTTGGCAGGTGCGTAAGAGACCTTTAAACAGGAAGGAAGTTGCTCGGAAAGAGGATGACGTTGTCACTGTATCTGACAATGCTTTCCTCACAGTCCATGAACCCAAACTTAAGGTTTAAAATGTCGTTTTCATGTAGAGTTTGATTTGCATCACATGATTCAGGGGCTGATGTTTGCTTTTATAGTGACTTACTTTGCAAAACCTTTATCAATCTCTTTTTTTGGTGGATAAATCTCATTTAACCCTTAAAATATTTGGGAGGAACTGATGTTTGGTTGTATTATGGAAGGTGGACTTGACTGCTTATGTTGAGAAGCATGAGTTCTGTTTTGACGCTGTTCTAGATGAGCATGTTACAAATGATCAGGTATCTTTTCATCACCTACATAGAAGATTTAGTTACAAAGACTGCTGCTTTACATAAAGGATGTGCAGAATTTTTTCATAACTGATTTGGACTACCTTCATCTTTTTTTTCTTTTCAATAGTAGGTTATTTACCACCCACTTTCTGCATATCCACTGCTTTGCAGGTTTATCGAGCCACCGTGGAACCAATTATCCCAACCATCTTTCAGCGCACAAAAGCTACATGCTTCGCTTATGGCCAGACAGGTCTGCTGCATTTCTTCACATGCTTGATTCATTTTGTTCCAGAGGCTGCTTACTATTATCTTCTGGCACTTAGCTGATTTCTGCTTCGACATGTGCTAGTACCCTCTTGGTACTGCTTTATTAATATCTTACCTTATCCAAAAAAGAAAAAAGATGTTGCTCTCTGCATGTTCTGTAATTTCAAATCTTCTGGTTCCATCTTTGATCATTCCCCCTTTAAGTTTTAGCAAGTATACTCTTTTGGTATAACTGAAGATTCATATACTCTTTTGGCACAGAGAGTTCATAGTTGTGCTTCCCAAATAGAGGAGCAGTAATTTGGCGATGGATTTAAAAGCTAGTCAATTTGTCAATGCTGTTTTTAGCAATGTTAAACTTGCTTCAACTGCTTTTGTAATTGGTTATCTTTTCATTGTTTTTTCTTTTCCTTTTCCTTTTTTCTCTTTGATGATTTAGGGAGCGGTAAGACATACACGATGCAACCATTGCCTCTTAGAGCTGCAGAGGATCTTGTTAGATTGTTGCATCAGCCAATTTATCGTAATCAGAAGTTCAAGCTGTGGCTCAGCTTTTTTGAAATATATGGTGGAAAACTGTTCGATCTTCTTGGTGATCGGAGGTTGGTATCCTTATAATGCTTCGAAAATTTCGTTTTACCTTCTTTAAGGGATATTCTACATGCTCAAATGACAACTAGGTAATGTCATACGTGATACAAATCAAAAACTTGCATAACCTAGAACCGGGCACTGGGTCCCCATAATTTACTCTATGGTGTCAGGAGAGTAGTGGTACTTCTTCCAATAATTTCTCAAAATACAGGAAAGTAAAAACTGAAAGTAAGAAATCTGAAGACATGTAGTGTCCTAAATGGTTTGTGGCCATGTGGCTATGCCAATGCCGTGGTTGGGAGCATGTTGTCTTGGTTGTCCAACTAATAGATGATTAAATCATTGTAAAAACTGCTTATACTTCCGTTCATGATTATAATGCTTCATTTCTGAATCATTTATTCTTCGCCATTTCTTACCAGCTAGTTCATAATTATTATGTAGGAAACTTTGTATGAGGGAAGACGGGCGGCAACAGGTTTGCATTGTTGGACTCCAGGAATTTGAAGTTTCAGATGTGCAGATTGTAAAAGAGTATATTGAGAGGGGAAATGCTGCAAGAAGTACTGGATCAACTGGTGCAAATGAGGAATCGTCAAGATCACATGCGATATTGCAGCTTGTTGTCAAGAAACATAATGAGGTCAAGGAATCTAGAAGAAATAATGAAGGAAATGAGTCCAAGGGTGGGAAAGTTGTCGGCAAGATTTCTTTTATTGATCTTGCTGGTAGTGAGAGAGGTGCAGACACAACTGATAATGACCGACAAACAAGGTAAGTTCTCATGGCACACTTGTTGCTGCATCTTGTTATGCTTCTCTGGAATTTCTTCTGATATGGTGTTTTATTTTGCTTTTTTCCCTTTGGCATGTTTTTCCTCGGATGTTGTGTATCTGTTTTAAAAGTCATTTCGTTGAACCACCTTAACATAAGGTCTAGGGAAGTTCTAGCTGGGACGTCTATGCTGTTTCATGATCTTATTCTAGTAAGGATTAAAAGTACGAGGTCATGAAGAAAGTTTGGTGTTATTATTCTGAATTTTATGCTCAAGGGATAATCTTCCAAACACTGGAAACAAAGAACTTGGCTGTGTCAAGTACCTTACTTTCTACTGTAACAAATCTTTGAGTTTCCACTTTTGCCAGTTTGAGTAATTTCACATGAGTATTCAGCACTTAGAAGCTGTTTTGCTTCTTAAAATTTTACTTAAAGGCTCCAGATCGTGCCTGCTTTTCTCTCTCCTCCCCCACCCCCTTCTCTTCCAAGCACACTGCATTGCTGCCAATTTGTTCGAGTAGCATATTTGAAATCTACATATTGGTTTCTTTTCAGGATTGAAGGAGCAGAAATTAACAAGAGTTTGTTGGCTCTTAAAGAGTGTATCCGTGCTCTCGACAATGACCAGATTCATATTCCATTCCGTGGCAGCAAACTTACTGAGGTGCTTCGTGACTCCTTTGTCGGAAACTCAAGAACTGTTATGATTTCCTGCATTTCTCCTAATGCAGGATCATGTGAACATACACTCAATACATTGAGATATGCTGACAGGTAAAAAAAATTCTTTAAGCGTCGGTTGATTTTATTTTTTCGTTTTATTAAGCATGGGATTATACTAACATGAGACTAACAGGGTAAAAAGTCTATCCAAAAGTGGTAACGCAAAGAAAGATCAGAGTGCAATTTTAATACCCCCTACATTCAAGGAAATGTACTCAGTGCCAACTTCGGCTGTTTCTGCTGGAGCAAGAGATGCTTATGAGCAACCTCAAGAGTCTATACTATCAGAAGTAAGCAGAAGGACAGGTTTTGATAAACAACCCTCTAGTGTTGGTTCAAATCTTACCGTCACTGGTTGGGAGGAAAGTGGGGCAAATTCTGGTGGTATGGACAGGGACAGGGACAGGTTTGAGGTGAAGAATGCCTATGGTATTTCAGCTGGTCAAAAACTGTATTCTACAACCAGCTTGCAAAGTTCTGATGTAGAAGAAAAGGTGCCGAAAGTGTCGCCACCTGGGAGGAAAGTATATAGGGATGAGAAACCTGAAAAGCTAGAACGGCCAGGAAATTGGTCAAGAAAAGATTTCTTAAGCGCTGATTCATCTTCTACAAGTTATAGACAACAACCTACGAGTATCCCCACAAAAAGTAATGGATCAAGACAAAATGAAGCTTCTTCACCCCCTCGTGATGAAAATATCAATGAAATACTAGAGGTTGTTAGTCTTTTATTTGCCTTTTGCTTTTCATTTTGTGAATTATTTTTTCTTTAATAACTGTTATAAACTTCTCCAATGATATCGGTGTAATTTTCCTCTTTCTATGCACAGGAAGAAGAGGCCCTAATAGCTGCCCATAGGAAAGAAATTGTAGATACAATGGAGATTGTTAGTGAAGTAAGTTTAATCCTATGTTAATTTGTAGTCTGTTAATTAATATTTTACCTCCCTGCAAAATGCAGAAATATTATAAGTGTGTTCCCAGGGAGGGTTCTGCATTTCTGTGTTATGCATTGCCGTTGCCAAAATGCAGCTGTAAATTGTTTTCTCTTGAGTGTTTCTTAATTTTTGAATTTTCTTTAATGTTTTCCTTGGATGTACTGCTTCCTCACCTAACAGTTGGATGCTTTTGTCTGAGAACCTACACGACTCTTTGACTGATCATTTGTGGCTATGGAGTTCATGCTTGCTTGTAATGGAATTCACCATTGTTTTCTTTTTCTTTTTGTTTTGTCTGTTGCCTCCCATTGTCTTAGTTATCTACAATTTCACTACCTGTATGTGTTTTGGCTTTTTAAATAGGGATTTAAAGAGGTGGTGGATAGTAGGATAATTCTAATATGTTAGTATTGCTGCGATTACCATTTCATTACTTGTCACCTCTCTCTCTCTCTCTCTCTCTCTCTCTCTCTCTCTCTCTCTCTCTCTCTCGCACACACACACACAGTTTATTTATTTAAAAGAACACGTCTTAGTTCCAATATTTTGTCCATTTTCTTTTGGTGATGATAGCTGCATGTTGTGAATTTGTTATTATATCCTCTGAGTTCCTATTAACAGAGCAATGAGAAGGACAAGTTTAGGCCAAACAAAAATGAGATTGCATTAGCCATATACTCGTGATAATTAATTAATTCTTTCGCTATCAGGAAATGAAACTGTTGGCAGAAGTTGATCAACCTGGAAGTCGCATTGACAATTATGTGACACAGCTAAGCTTTGTGCTATCTCGCAAAGCAGCAAGTCTGGTCAGCCTTCAGGCTCGCCTTGCAAGGTTCCAGCATCGACTGAAAGAGCAGGAAATACTGAGTAGAAAGAGGGTACCGCGTTAGGCATGAATCTTTACAACATATGTGGCATCAATTTACTTGTATTTACTCTCCCCTTTGTAATCCCTGCAAGATAGGTTAATTCTCTCTTCCATAAAATTGTTGTAAACAAATGATAAATCAGGTGAAGAATCACTGTGCAGATTTTTTACTAAATAGAAGAAAGAAAACAGTGTTGTCCTCTCATGAGCTTGAACCTGCTGAAACTACCAGATGTTAATGTTTACTCTCGTATTCTCCGTGCTCCTCTAGATATGAGTACTCAGAAGAAGCAAGAAAGGCATCGCAGAACTTGTAAATTCACTATGATCATAATTATACGGACTTCTGAAGATTGATCGGTCCAATTTATAGGGATCAGGGATGTATTTCCTACGTATTAGATGTTTGATTACATCTGAAAAAACTTCTAAGATTATATTATCGTTGTGTTGTTTACTGCTTGCAGCTATTGCTATTGCTTTTTTTTATCTTTTCTTGAGCCGAGGGTCTATTGGAAACCGCATCTCTACCCTCACAAGGTCGGGATAATGTCTGCGTACACTCTACCCTTTCCAGACTCCACTTGTGGGATTACACTAAGTATGTTGTTGTTTGTTGTTTTGCAGCAACGAAACTGATTTGATACCTCCATTGTGAATAAAGAAGCTGTGGTTTTATCTAGAGCTAATAATAGCCTGTTTAGTGAAAGCATGTGTACAGTTTTGCTCGAATGCATTATTTGCATGTGTTTATTATGAAGTAATTCAATCATGAATGTTTTTAATTTATGCTTACAGCTAGTATTTCATTTATATATTTGCAACTAGTGCAAAGTATTCTGACCATTGGAAGCTCATTCTGAATGTTATGTTGACCTAAATAAAACCAAAACCAATATGTTAACAGTCCAAAACCAATATGCTCAGAACTGTTTGATCTTGAATCATAGCTTTACTTGTTTAATACTATGCTCTCACTTGAGTCCCCTAAGGACATTTTCTGGCGACTTCATCATTTTACTTCAACTCCATGATCTAAAAATAAGTAATGCATATGTTTTAATGCTGTTTTTATGAAAAAGATTGTTGAAACGTGCAGTAAAACTATTCATCGTAGTATTCTTTCCTATAAATCACTTTTCATTTTTGTTTGGGGTTGCTCTAGTGGTGAGCACCCTTCACTTCCAACCAAGAGGTTGTGAGTTCGAGTCACCCCNAATCATTTACCCATACCATTTTTGTTAGATCATCATTATGCACAAGCAACTCAACAACCATAGCACAAATTTCATTCCTTTCACTCCAGTGATTTGTAGCTTACTTCAAACTTCCTCTAGAGAATTTGGGGAAACAAGATTTTCAATGTATAGACTAAACTCGATCACACCATCATATTTTATCTGATTATCAAGATTCTTGATCCTGTTATCTCTTGAATTAAACCATGCCAAACTTATAAAATCAAGCCTTTCTTGTAACAGCAGGAGTTCAAAAAATCACTTCCCATCACCCAACTTCTATACAAAAGAGATGGAGTAACTAACTAGCTACAGAATAAACTTTACTGATCTTTGATGATAAGATTTTGGCTATGGGGGAAAAATAAGATAACACAATCCAAACACGCGATACCTCTGCATGTGCCATACATGAATATTAGTTACACAAAACAAATACAACTCTGAATTTCATCTAAAGTGAAATTTGAATGCTCTCTGGGGACCAAAAAGACTGAATTAAAAAATTAACCTAAAGAAGCACTTTCAAACTCAACTTACAAAATCAAGCCTTTCTTGGATACTAACCAGCTAAAGATTGAAATAACACTTTTGACTAATCACACTAAAGGTCTTCAAGGAATAGTTAGCCTCGCATCAATCACACAACATTTGAGCTACATAATCATTCCTTTGTTGAAACAGGATATACTACATGACAAAAAAGGAGCATGCTCAGGATTGTTTAATCTGCTTTCAACCTCAAGATCTCCTTCGCAGTCCTCAACCTAAAATACGGCATGTCTTCCTACGAGGAAGAAGAAAAAACGTTTAAACTTTTGATTAGCATTTTTTTTTTTTGCAGAAAACACTCAATCCCGCCCCTCTCCCAACCACAACCCCCAAAAGCAGACAATAAAGAAATTAAAGTACAAGAAAAGGAAAGGGAAGAAAAGTCTTCAATTTAATCCAAGCTGAGAGTTTCCAAAGTATACAACTTGCTGAATGGTGCAAGCAAACTACTCCTTCCCTTTCATTTCATATATGAAGGTGTTTGACTTGGTACAAAATTTAAGAACGGACTTTTGAAACTTGTAGTCTTCAACATAGCATCACGTCATTAAGGGTGAAATGGGAAGCTCACAGATAAATTGTTTCAAGAAATAGAACGGCATCATTCTTTTTGGAACAGACTAAAAAGGAAAATATATCACATAAAATTGAACAAATGGAGTATTTTTATTCTCTTTTGGGGGAGGCGGGGGAGTAGTCCAGTTGTTGCAAACAAATTGCTAGAGTAAAGAAATTCAGCCACCTCTATCTAATGCCATGACGATGATCAAAGCCTTCAATAGGTAGTAACAGATGTGAAATACTAATCCATGAGGAAGAAAGAGATGGATAAGAAACCATGTAAATTATCAAGGACGAGAGACTCAAGTCAATATTCGTGAAATGATAAACCAAAATGGTCTTCAAGGAGAGAAGAAAGAAACATGTTGATAGAAAGGAAAAATGTCATTTTACAATACTCTTGGTCTCATCCTGTTTGAACAACTTTCTTATTTAGCCTACTCCAGAGATAATGACCTCCTTTCCATATGGAAAATTCTACCACCTTTAAAAAGTCAATGAGTATGTTAGTATAAATACTACTCCCTTCGTTTCAATTTAGATGAGGTAGTTTGACTCGGCACGGAGTTAAAGGGAAAAAAAAGGACAGTTGAAACTTGTGGTCTTAAAAGCTTAAGGGGTTTTGTGGGGCCATGATATTTGTGTGGTTATAAAAGTTTCTCATTAAGGGTAAAATGGGTAAAATGAAAAGTTTAAAGTTGAATTATTTTCAATTGTAGAAATGTGTCATTCTTTTTGGAACGGACTAATAAGGAAAATATGTCATCTAAATTGAAACAGAGTGAGTTTGTATTATTTCGGTGTCGATGTACTGCCTTCATACCCATTTCATATCTTACAACTACATATACTGACTTATCTTTACCAAGTGCAAACATACTATCTGCACAAGCTTTTCTCAAACTTTTGTGAAGAGTTAACGTAGCCGCACAATTTAGAATGGCGATAAAACATAGTTTGCAGAAAAGGTTTTATTTTTGTGAGCAGATTGCAATAAAAGATTAAAAATATTTCGGCATACGAAATCAATGTGTCAGTGGTACAAATTAATTCCAACTATGACTCTTAAATTCCCATCCCTACTCAAAAGCAAGCTTTTCTTTGTCTTCTCACTCAGAGTTGGTATGTGTAACGTGTCAAGGGTAAGAAAGCATCAGATAACAATGCAGCACACGGTTTACCTGATTAAAACAGAGGCCTATATCTCTGCTGTAGAAATCAGCATTTTTTATCATGAACACACCGCAGTCAAATCTGTTCACAATGAAAGTTCACCAGTTTAATCAAATGATAACACACAAAAAGTGATAGAAAATCTGAAGTGACTCAAATTGCTAGCATAAAAAGAAAATCTAGCAACTGCCTCAAGAATTGGGAAAAAATGAGTATAAAACATAAGTTCACAAATCTTAAGAATCATTAGACCAAAGTGTTACACACCCATTCTTTTGCTCCGGAAGGTCCTCCACAAACTCTTGCTTCCATGAACTAACATCAATGTCTTTCCCACTTTTGTCCTTCACCTCATCAACAAAGTACCTAGCCTGCACAAAGATATCAACAGACTGTAACATCACTCAAGCTAGAGCAAAACCTCAAGAAACATGAGATCTGCTCTTTCCTCAACGCCATTTTCTCAGTCACAAATTACCTAGATTCTTCTTTGTTGCATATTACAGTCAAGAAAGAAGAGAATAGGAAAATTTCAAAAGATATTAATTTTAAGAATAAAAAAGGTAGCATGTCTCGACAAGTTTTCCTTTGTAAAGATACCAAACTTACCAGCACTTTCAACACTTGAGTATCCCTTCCTCTGAGTGAATCAAGATATTGGAACTTTTCATCCTTCTTATTGATAACAGCTAAACACCAATGTATTTCTTTGTGGATAGGGACAAATATCTAATTAGGAGAATCAAATTAGTACATAGAATATAGCAAAACATATTAAGAAAAGGAAAACAAATGATAGAACATTTTACTTTATCGCATTCGAGTAGGCAGTATCCCAGCTTTCTTTGGGATGTCCATCTTCTCACAGATTGATAGTTATAGCCTCCCCTGCCACTTATCAACTGAAAATGTAGAAGTATTTACACGAAAATGAGCAGATTTTCATTCAAAATCTCAACACATAGTTTCCAGTAAGGTGATAATAATCAGTGATTGACGTTGCAACCTTGTAAAGTGAGCAAACTAGATCATATAATTTTTTTGTTAAACCTAATAACAAGTTGACCACTTTAGAAAGAGAAACTAAATGGTGTCAATAACAATAGATCATTCATTGTAGAGCATGAACTAAGAGGCAGAATCAGATCAGTATATGAACAAAATATTTCATGAATATATTAGGTCTAGGAAAAAAAATGGTAATGAGAGAACTACCGACGATGGTAGTTATGGATCAGGTAAGGAGTGTGTGATAGAGAATACAAAAACTTCATACTCTACTCTTGGCCTAAGCTTATGCTAACAGAGTGCATACTGGAGCAAGCACTGGTCAGTACATTCCATACATCATCTAAATCAACTGCAGAAACCAGGAAAAGTACTAACAGCATATTGTAAACCATTGCCAACCATAGGTTTGATGAGACGAGTCTGTTATAAAGAAAGACAAAAAACTGCCACGTATCTTCTCTACGAGCAAGGATGGGAGATGGAAGGAGAATCAGCTTTTGGAATCATAGGTGGTGTGGAGAGGATACTCTGAGGGTCTCTTTCCCCCACGTCTTCAGAGTTTCAAAACGGAAGGAATTGATGGTTCAACAAATTCGCAAGGAGCATGAAGGAGGTAGTATGGGACCTCTCATTTAGAAGGAACATGCAAGATTGGGAGATTGCGGAGCTCCAAGATTTGTTGGCACTGCCATATGGGCAAGGCAGGCCCCAACCATCTTGTGATTCTTGGAGATGGGGGTTGCATGGCGATGGTTTGTTCACCGTAAAGTCCTTTTACCAGAGTATGTTAGTGAGAGAGGAGGCCACTTTTCCATACTCCTCGATCTGGATTCCTAAGGCGCCCACGAAGGTGTGCTTTTTGCATGGCTAGCGGTGAGGGGAGTGATCTTGACTGCTGAAAATTTGCGAAAGAGAGGAATTACACTTGTTAGTTGGTGCTACATATGTAAAAGCTCAGGGGAAGAAGTTGATCATCTTTTGTTGCATTGCGCTGTGTTCTCGGGTTTGTGGAGGGCAATCCTGAATCTTTTTGGTGTTCAATGGGTGATGCCAAGCACTGTAAAGGAAATGTTATATAGCTGGGTGGGTTTCCGTAGAAGAAGAAAGCTAAAGGCGTGGAAGTTCGCCCCGTTATCTCTCATGTGGATAGTTTGGGGGGAGAGAAATAGGAGAGCTTTTGAGGAGATTGAGTCTCCTTTTTCACATCTTAAGAATAGTCTCTTATCTTTGATAGTTTTTTGGTGCACTCATATAGCCCCTACTTGTATAGAAGATTGGGCGTCATTTGTAGAGAATCATGTTATGATGTAAATTCTCTACTTTTTGGTATACTTCTTGTATACGGGAGTTTTCTCCCTTTTGATTAATACAATTTACCTTATCAAAAAAAAATCTTCTCTACGAGCACAATGTTAGAGGCATACAAACATGAATAGTAACTTCTATGTATACACACATATATAAACATGAGTAATTAAATCCATCTTATAGTTCCACAATTTCGACAAAAACTCTTCTATTTATATTAATGACTTCAAAATACTTATTTTACAATCTTGTTCTTGGACATCCATAAAGCAGCCAACAGAAATGATCAGCAAGGCCGCACTTTTACTTTCAGATAACTATTATAGACTACGTTGTGCGGACTCTCCAAAATACTGCCGCACCCGTGTCGGATTCTCCAAAAATACACTGCTTTTGGAGAATCCGACACGCATCCGGCGATATGTTTGGAGAGTCCGAGCAACATAGATTATAAACCAAACCCATATATCAACACAGTAGTTGTAGAACTGAAATTTTGAGCTCAAAATCATAGAACTGACCTTCTTGTAAAAGAATGTGTTAAAGAAATGACATTTCAAGAACTTTTGGGGCTCCCTTTTCTCTCTCTCTTTTAACAGTTCAAGATACACATTGATAACCTGCAAAGGACAAGTCANTAATAAGACAAATACAAACATATAACGAGAATGCAAATAGAAAATAGAGAATTGAGCCTCATACAAAATGAGATGTGTATAAACCATACCGATTGGATTTAGATAGAGCACGCAATACCTCAGCCTCGTCCTCCTCAGTGAGAGGCACAAATGGTTCTGAAATCACATCCTGCAAGTTAAAAGCATCAATATAAGGAAATTAAACTACAAGCACACTAAAAACCAAATCATAAAGCGGATTCTATCATAGTACCTGTTTAACATGTTCTCCTTTCTTCTGAGGCCGCAACAAACTATACGTTTCGAGACACTTCTCATTATATCCAATCTGAAACTGCAGTCTTTTCAACTTATCATTCATTTTCCCCACTGAACCAAGCAATTTCTTATACAAAGGGACATAGAAAGCAGAATCAGACGTGGGGTTCAACGCTAGTGTGTCTAACATCTTCCCTACACTCTCTTCCTTCAAATTTCCATCATCCAAACCCGCAGTTACCACCGACGAATCCTTACCATCAACACCATCCAAAATTTCTACAGCCCCATTAGTCTCCTTCCCCTCTTGGCTCAAAATTACACTTTTTTCACCAACCCCACCTTCCAAATTACCAAAAAAATTATTTTTTTCACAAACCCCAGCTTCTAAATTACCATAAAAACCACTCTTTTCATAAACCCCAGCTTCTAAATCACCCTTTTTAGCATCATCATCATCAATAAATATCACTTCCTTAACTTTTTTCAAACATCTTAAACTATAAAAAGCACTTTTCTTAGCTTCATCGTACACTCTTGATACAAAATTACCCATTTCAGGAGCTGAATTTGCTGAAATACACTTAGACCCAAATCTTGATTTCCTACATGGAGCATGAACTTGTCTTCGGATCGGGTTAATTGGATCCGGGTACTTCAAAAACCGTTGCACAGTTGATTTTGGTGGATTTAGGGTTTGATATATAGAAAGTTTGGGTTTTTTTGAAATGTGGTCGAAATTGGAAGGATTTGAAAATTGGGTTTTGTAATTTGAAGAGAAAAAATCGTTACCTCGCTTCCTATTGAACGTTAACGCCCCCATTGAAGGAAGTAGAAATTTGTAAAGAATGCTCAGAAATCATCAGATAAGATTAGTTTGTGCATTTGAGTGAAAAAATCTGGGTTCAATTTGACTAACCTTGAACGGAAATTGAAAATAAAATCAGTAGAAGTACCAGATTTTGCTCAGAAAATTGAATAGAAAATCAGTAAATAATTGCCAGAGTTTGAACAGAGATGAAAAGATCAGTAAAATACCAGACTTTGGGGGGAAGGTTTTTGGTTTTTTGCGGTTTTGATTTGTCTTTTTAAGAGTGGGGTCCAGCAAACAAATTAAGGAGTACGTAAATGCATGGGAAAAAAAAAACAAAATTACATACACGTTTTAAATTTGGATTTTAAGTTATTAGTATTGAATAGGGAAAGAATTTTTATATTATCGCCTATAATTTAAATGAGTGAAGGAGAGACTAGGTCAAGATGTATCCGTGTGATCTAAAATAACTTGTTGAAATTTATTTTTAGAAGGTTTAATTTTCGTCGAGGATTACTCTTAGACGCTTGCAACTCTTATCAAATCGAACCATCAGCTTGGCAGTAAATTAATTTATTATGTTAACTCAGTCAATAAAAACTCTTAACATGGTTTGATATCAAGGGCGAAACCACCTTTTAATTGACCACCCTTCGTCGAAATATTACGAAAAATTACATTGTATATATGAGTAAATATTAGATTTTAGATGTGCATAACATATATTGAACACCATTTGTCGAAATTTTTTTTACTTCTTTCAAATCTAAATATCCTTGAAAAAATTTTTTGCTTCGCCACTATCTGATATTATTGGCTTTAGATTAATTTTGTACTATTTTTTCCAAAAAAAACCTCAGCCTTATGCATAACTTTTTTTCAAATAAAATTTCTAATGTGGGGTTTTGTTTGTATACTCAAATTGTACCAAGGTACGTGTAAGTTTCTTAGAATGCGGAATTTCAGGCAGTACCAAATATATTTATATCTAGAAATATATTTACAACTTTTAAAAATATATAGGATTTAACCCTATTACACTGCATTTTGTCAAAATTGCGAACGCATTGTTCGATCCAACACCGGCGGAACTGAGTCAAGGGAGCCATTAAAGTCTCCCAAGAGAAAGCACATTATTCACGGACCTTCAAAATCTAATGGATCACCAGTTTTGAGAATGCATAAGCGAAGTCAGGATTTAAAGTTTACTGGTTCGGGAATCTGATCTTTTTAAGCTTAAATGAGTTCTGAATTAATTATTCGTACATATTTTACGAATTTCTTAAGACTATTGGGTCAAAATTACTGGGTTCGGCCGAACCTATCACATACACTAGGAGAGGACATAGTGCGATGACATCTTTAGAGTCCCTGAATCAGTCTCAAAAAAACGGAATTTACATTAAATAGCCGCAGGTATTACAGTATATGCAGAAATGCAAAACAAGGTTCAAATGAGCTGTATATATCAGTATGTCTCGTAAAATGTTCTTCTTTACGGGCTTTAAATTTTAGCATCTACATATTGTATCATATCGTATTGTTATTTTAAATACAATATTTATTTTGATTGTTATTTAAATTTTATTGTATCGTATCGTTAAATCCGTCGTCACGTAACGACGAAAAATATCATTTTATGAAACGACGAATTTGGTGTGGTGGCGTCGTTACCTTGCTTTTTTCCCTCATCTTGCCCTTCCTTATTATTAAATAATCACATTTTGCACTTTACACCACTCTTTTATATAATAATTCTACTTCGTCTAATATTGCAAGTTTATTCTTCATATTGTTAGTGTGTGATATCATACGACGACAAACGATACATCTATCCAAACGTTGTATTCATCAAATAATACAGTATAATACAATACAAATAATACAATACAATACAATACAATACATTATGAAACGACATGTAACAATGCCTTTTCTTTTCATGTTTTATTAGAATAACTCACTACTTTTTCTCCAAATTCAAAATATAAGTGCCCCAATAGCAGATTAATAATTAGAAATAGAACCTTATTGCTTCGTATTTACAAGACATTTTTCATCACTTTGAGTCTCTCACGAAAATTGTGAAACCCCAATTTAGTCATTTAGTGATGTATTTCTTGTACCAAATGGTGAGAAAACAATAGGCACTTTATGATCAAAGTTTCAATTCAATTACTTGGACAGAAGAATTTGACATATCCATTATATGTTGTTGTTTCTCTTTTCGTAGCTTTCATTGAGCCGAAAGTCTATTGAAAATAACTTTTCTACCTTCATAAGGTAGGAATAAGGTATGGGTACGCACTATTCTCCCCATTCCCCACTTCAATTACATTGAGTATGTTATTGTTGTTTTTATTGTTATTGTTGTACTTGTTGTATTGTATGCTCGGGTGCGAGAACATTTTCCATTACCTGCTGCCCCCTCCCAATAATACCAAGTAATTTGATATTGATGCATCATTGATTAATATATAGTATCAAACAATATAAAAACCAGGAAAAATATACAAGTGCTTCTTGTATACAATATAAAACATGAAGATTCAAAATAGTACTGCTAAGCAAAACCTGATACCTACCTCTAATTAAGGTCGAAGGAATTTATACCGTACCACACCCTTCGTTGGTCTACCTCTTTAAATGACTTTATCTCAAGATTTCTTTTTAAAATTTTCGAATTGAAATTTGGTAAAAACTTTAGAAAACTGCTTTAGGCAGCATCTTCTTGTTTTTCCAATATATATAGTAGTCAAAAACGGAATTGTTGTTTTCACTTAAACTAATAGTATAAAACAAATCTCGTGAATTTAATTTGTTGGCCAAAGGAATGATAATAATAATAATGCCAATAATAGAAAATGATATTTTTTTCGGGAGAATGACACAGTTACCCACAAAAATAAAACTATTTATCTTTTCCTACCCATCAAACTAATTACATTTCCTACCCGTAGTAGTTTTTGTGGGAAATTTTCTCTTTTTTCTCAAATTCTTTTTTATTTCTATGCTTCTTTTCTTTTTGCCTTTTTTTCTTTCTTTTCTCCTTTTCTTTTTTCTCGTTTTCTTCTTATTTTTTTCTTTTTTCTCTTTTTTTATTCATTTATTTTTTCCCAAATCGTATTATTATTATTTTTACCATAACTTATTTCACACTCAATTTTGACTCCTTCTTTATTATTTTTATTTTTATTTTTTTTCTTTATTTCTTGTTCCTTTTCTAATTCCATTTAACTCCTTTTTTCTTTATTTCTTCTTCCTTTTCTAATTTCATTTAACTTCTTTTTTTTTTTATATTCTTTTTCTCTTCATAATCTAATTTCATTTATTGTTTTCACTATTTTTTATTATTCTTATTTTTATACAATAATAAAAAATAACTGATATAATAAATATTTGTTCACCTTTTTTTAAAATATAACTAGTATAATATACATTTTGTCTTTTTTCTCATTTTTTAAATTCAGTTATTAAACTAAAATAATATCAATTGTCACTTGATCTGATTCACTGAATATCACACTGACTGCTATTGAGAATCAAAAATTACATAATCAGATTCTAAGAATCATCACGTGATTGTCATGCAAACCTTGATCTCCCTCCCTACAAATATCAGTACACACTCTACCATTAGCGGTAACACATCTAGTTTTGGAGCAAAAAAATATAATCTACGGCCGCCAAATCTCTATATATACTAATTAGAATAGAAATAATAATAAAATATTGGAAAATGCAATAAAGTATAAGTAGCAAAAAAGACTTGTAGTACCATATGATACCAATATGGTATATATATGTCAACAGAGTATATGATTGCTCTAGAATATTGCTACAACTATCTGCGACTATACTACTGTACCAAAACATTAAAGGTTGCAATAAAAGCACGAGAAAATTGCATGCTCGCATTGCAAGCTAAATATTCGCAAAGCAACTTGCCAATTTCGTATACTAACAGGGTCTATAGTTATATGGGGTCGTTCCAACAATTGCATGTAACTATAAAAGTATTACATAATACACATAATCTATGTCCATCAGCACAAAATAATTCCAGCACTGCAAATCATGTTCATATAAATAATTTCAGAATAGAATTTACTTAAAAATGCAGCTAAAACAACCAAAAAAATATTCAAACAACCATATGATACCAATATGGCATATAACTATACCAACATGGTATACAGTGGTTACTTGTTAATTCCTGCCAACTATATGAATATACTACTATTACATAACACACATGCATAAAGAGAAAAATAAAAAAATAGTGTACCACATATTAATATAATAGAATATTTCAAGATATTGTACTATATTATTATTATTAAAAGAAAATCAAATAGTATACCAATTAAATGCATCTAATACAACAAAAAAATGAATCAACTAGCATATGATACCAATATAGTATATAACTATACTAATATGGTATATAGTTGTACGAGGTCGTTCCAACAACTGCATATAACTATAAAAACTATTACATAATACATAAAAATTATCCATATGTACAAGAAAATCCAACACAACAAAACATTGTCATATAAATTATTTCAGAATAGAATTCACTTAAAAATGCAACTAAAACAACCAAAATATATTCCAACTACCATATGATATCAATATGACATATAATTATACCAATAAAGTATACAGTTCTACAATATATCAAAATAATATCTTGTGTTCTTCATTCAACATTATACTATTATATTAATGGTATTTTGATGATTCCAATAGCTTGGTACTGTGATTTTTGACTTTGACATGTGTCCGGATTTGGATTTAGAGGTCCGTAGGTTGGGTTGGTATTTTTGGCGAAAGTTGGAAAGCTGAAGGTTTTGAAGGCTTATAGGTCTGATCGAGAGTTGACTTTGTTGATATCGGGTTCGGATATTGGTCCCAGGAGTTGGAATAAGATTGTTATGTCATTTGTGACTTATATGCAAAATTTAAGATTATTCCGAGTTGGTTTGATGTGATTCGGTGTGAGTTTTGGAAGTTGGAAGTNGGTTGGTTTGATGTGATTCGGTGTGTGTTTTGGAAGTTGGAAGTTGGAAGTTCATTAGGCTTGAATCGTGGTGCGATTCGTGGTTTCGATGTTATTTTATGTCATTTGAGGCTTCGAGTAGGTTCGTGTTATGTTTTGGGATTTGTTGGAATGGTTGGACGGGGTCCCGGGGGCCTTGGGCATGTTTCAGATTGGTTTCGGCTTGTTTTGGATTGTG